TATGACCATTTTATACAACCGAATCTTGTTGATCAAACTTAATTTCGAATTTATGCACAACAAAGGATAAAGCTGCCGAAAGATAATTTGGAATTTTGTTTTCAAAATATCAGTATGTTTCTGCCAGGTCAACCCCTTGTCAATGATGACTCCAAGATGCCTGACAGATTGCTCAGTGATATCTCTGAGGGGGCACTACAACGTTTTTTATACAATAGATTGCCTGCGTTTTCGAAGTATACTAATTCAAATTCAAAATATTTATTTCGTCATGAATAAACATCATAAACACACTAAGTGACATATAAATCCGAACACCCAGTTTAAATGGTTTTATTTTAATAAAATTTTGTATAAGTACTTAATGAAGCATAATAAGTAAATGATAAAAATTTCAAAATGATTGCACTGCTTTAAAGCCCTTTGACCTTTAATAATGTGTGGATGCACCCTGATGTTCTACGCACTCTCCAACGCGCCTAGGCATGCTTCTGATCAGGTGGTCAATGTCCTCCTGTGGTATCTCATTAGAGTCAACCACCAACTCCTCTCGAAGTGCTTCTAGAGTCTGAGGAGGACGTTGCAAATTGAGCAATCTCCTACCCATCATATCCCACACGTGCTCAATTGGGGATAAGTCGGGAGATCTTGGTGGCCATGGTAACAATGTGACATCATTATGTTGAAAGAAGTCTATTGTGACTCTTGCAACATGTGGTCGGGCATTATCTTGTTGGAAAGTTGGATCTGCCAGGGTGTCAAGATAGGGTAAAATATGGGGTTCTAGAACTTCGTGGATATAACGCTGCGCGTTCATGTTACCTCTGATGAAGATTAAAGGTGACCTGGAACCATAAGCTATAGCACCCCAAACCATAACTCCAACAGTGTGATGAACATGTCTTTCAACAAAAAACTGTGGATTCCTCCTTTCACCACGTCGCCTTCTAACCCTGGCACGACCATCGTGCATGCCTAAACAAAATCGAGACTCGTCACTAAAGACAATACTGTTCCATTCCTGATCCCAGAGTGACCGTTGTCTGCACCACTCAAGGCGATTACGTCGGTGTTCTCGAGTTAAAGGGAGGACCCAGTGTGGCCGGTATGAAAACAAGCCAAAACTTCTCATTCGTCGGTAAACACTTCGCATGCCAATAGGTCTTCCGTGTTCTGCAAACCATTCATTTGCAATGGACCTGGTAGTGGAGAAACGGTCCCTTAAGGCCAATAATCTTAGGCGGCGATCTTCACGGTCTGTTGTTCTACGGCGGCGTTCAGTGCCCCTTGCTCTTTGCGTACGGCCTTCTCGAAGCGATGCCTGACAACACCTAACCACAGTGTCTACACTTCTTTCCACTCTAACTGCAATTGCCCGAAAAGAAAGTCCAGCTTCCCGAAGTCCCACTATACGGCCCCTATCAAACTCACTAAGATGACGAAATCGTACAGGTCTCCGTACTCTAGGCATCGTAACCGATCGTAAAGGATGTCAAGAACCAAAATCCGCCAACGTTGATTCTTTACTGCGGCTGAAATATTCATTTTTAGAGCGTCACTGAATTAAAAAAAGGCAGTATAAAAACCGGAATGTCCAACTGATAAGGCTGAACATTTTTTCACTTGTTATTTACAGTAAGATAAATACATTCACCAACTTTTATTAAAATAAAACCATTTAAACTGGGTGTTCGGATTTATATGTCACTTAGTATATTAATTTTGAGCAACCACCGATCCGCCTACTCCAATACTTCCTCCACCGTACTCTGCAGCCTGTCGTGAACCAGGTTACCAGAACAAGACTGGGCTAGCAATGCAGTGTCATCAGCATAGAAACAGACTCCACAGTTGCTGGGGCAAGGGACGTCATGGATATAAAGTGAATAAAGGATTGGTCCTAAGACCGAATCCTGAGGAATACCGGCTCTTACGGGCCGTGTAGTTGACAACACATTGTTAATTTTGATCAGAAACTTCCTTCCTTCTAGAAAAGATTTCAACAGTTTTAGTAGCCAAAATGGAAAACCCTTTTGGATGAGCTTATACAAGAGACCCTTGTGCCTTTGATACATCTAATAGCAAGATACCAGTACTTTTGTTCAGGGTGAACCCCCTGGTTACATGCTGCACCAGTCTAACTGCCTGTAGCTCCGTACTATGCTCAGACCAAAAGCCGAATTGCACGTCAGGAATCACATGGTGATCTGGCGAGAAATTCTCAAGGTGACGATAAATCACCTTTTCAGCGAGCTTAGAAGTAGCCGACAGTAGACATATGGGACGGTAATCCTGGGGGAATATCGAACCTGCCTTCTTTGCGATCATGATGACTTCAGCGACCTTCCACGCCTTAGGAAAGTATTGAGTTCTGAGCATTGCATTGATTATTGTCACCAGATAAGCCAAAGCCTTGAGCGAAAGCAACTTCAGTGCTTTGTTGGTGATTTGATCCTCTCTAGGTGCTTTATGCACCTTTAGGTCCTTAATGTGGCCTTGGAGCTCTGCTGGTGTGCAAAACGGAGTCTCAGAGGATTCCGTTGATATGCTATGCTAAAGAGTCTTCTGTTGAAGAAACTTATGAAAAAGAGTCGCCGATGTTGGTATCGCCATTCGCTCTGAAATGTCTCCTGACATCTTACAATTTGTCGTTCCTCGTCAAGGTCATTGTCCAAATCATAATTGGGAGAAAACTGCCTTTCCACGACGTCAGCAAAAACCTCCAGTTTATCCTCAGTCCTGAAAACCGTGCCCCTACAGGACCATGAATATGTGGTAGTTGTTCTTGCCTTCCGTTTCTAAGCGATTTTGCCACTTTCCAGAGAGGAATACTCGATTCAAGCATCCCCGCCAGAAAGCTGCTCAACTGCTTATTGCGGAATTCATGGAGTGCATTTCTCACTTCATGGACAAGATTCGTCGCTCTACGAATGTCATCAGGATGACAAAACCTTTTTGCTTGCTTAATCGCAGTCCTCTTCAGAAATTTTCCGACGATTGTCAGCAGGGAGAATTTTACTAGATATTTCATTGATTAAAAAAATAATTTGTCTGAGTATGTTTTATTTTCCTGTACAATCTGATTCTGTGCATACAGAATAATAACCATATATATGCAAGCAAATAAAAATAATTCATTTTCCGCCACTTAATGAGGTCAGATCAAACCAAAAAAATGACAGATCAGACATCGCAAAGTGGCCGAAAATAATATCTAATCATATTTAAATATAATACAATGATAGTGGATATTCTCTTCAAACATCCAAAAAGATCTGAAGCATAACAGCAGAACTTAATTTACAGTATGAAAGGCCAAGCATTTTTCTGTTAAACAGTCTAGATTGTCAAATTTGCTTGCTCAAGTTTGTTAAATTTAAATGGACGTCATTTTCTTTCAGTCTATCCGATCTGCGATCCACCAAGTCAACAAACCTCCAAAGTAGACCTCCTCGATTCTTACTAAAACACGCCAAACCTTTTCCACACTATAAAAAATTCGCTCACCATTCTGCTCCAGATCTTCGATTTCATTTAAAATATCTGGTAATAAACATACGCTAAACGTAACAGTATGCAGTTACAAAAAAAAGTTAATTAGTATATTTTTCTTTTATCTAAAATTTGTACAACCACCTTACTACATTGTACACCTACCAAATTATATTAAATGTCTAATTTACGTTGATACCATCGTAAGTTACCGTAATTATTTATACAGGATGTCATATAAGAAATGGAATGGATGCAATAATAATTACTCGATGTTGAAACTTGTCATTAAGTTCAGCAAACTTAAATTCATATTGTTTTCATTTTAGCCATTTTCAAGCTACGCAACTAGTCCATTTTTTATTAGCCCTGTATATGCGATAAGTTTCCAAAATATTCATATTGCTGATACATGACGGTCACCATGTTACATTGCTTTTATGAAAAACTGAAGATAACAAATCACAGGTCACGTATACAGGTTAAATGCAGCTAGTAACCAATTCAGTAACGTTAGTAGTGCTGTTTTGATGAACTCGGCCATGATACGATGAAATTAGTGTTTCTAATAATCTCAGGTGGTAACTATGAGATAGTGCGTTGGTAAATAGTTCATTTACCGAAGAAAATTTATAATTTGTGTTCAAAATAGTAGCTTTTATATGAGCCTGAGTCAACATCTGCCAAAGTACGTAATCGTTACTCAATATATCCGACGACATCAACTGACGAAAAATACATTCTCTGCGAAAAATGAGGAAATGGTCAGTAAGTCATGTATCACAATTTAAAATAATAGCCTCGAAATGACAGACCAAAAGTTATGGGAAGCTATGTAGAAAACAAATCCCTTCGTCTTTAATCGTACTTATACTGTGGTTTGGCAGTCACTTGGTTAGTTGATTTTTATATGCCTGATAACGTTGATTTGAGTTATCACTTTGCAATCTCAAAGCCAAAATATCTGTAGTTTCAAGTTCCTTCAAGAAATGAACGTTAGCCACACCAAAAATTTGCCCATACCTCTTGGTCTATAAACTGTCCATTACTTACAGATAAATCTTATAATCATAATGGGACATTTATTGTTAGGAAACAGACTTTCATTTTTACTTCACCCAGAAATTACACTAATAAAATACAGTTCATTTTTGCTTTGTTATTCACTTCTTCGATAAAGGGTGTTCATTTTTAAAACTTCCCACCACGGATTTATACAAAAAAAAACGCCACGACATGTCAAAAGATTTGTCAAGGGGGACAACTTTTTAAACAAAAATTACTTCAACCTCGGCCCCCCCAGGGTCAGTCCCTTACTAATTTTAAAAGATATGGGTATCGAGTAATGGCTTGTTTGAAAGGTCTTTCGAAGTCCTTTATTTTGACGTTTGATTTTTTTAAATCAGTCAATTCGTTTTCGAGAAAGTTAGAAAAATCTTTACTTATTTTAATTTGTTTACATAGAAAACCAAAACACACGAAAATATCACTTTTTATGTCAATAAATGTTGCCCGTTAAGGTTTGCCAAATCTTTAATTCGTTTATAATTTGAAACGGCAACAACCAAATAACAACCCGAATTTTTTCCGCATTCTTTTCACCATACAGATACCTGGCCGAACTGTGTTTACTGTTATACCTGTTTAGTTATATGTTGTTAAGAGGAAGAAAGAATTTAATTTGGTGTCACCTTTGTGACAATCTTCGGATAGTGAAAATTAATTTATTGATTCAGATTTTACTTCCAAAGTGGTTTACACACTAGCCGAAAGAGTGGAAATGATTCTAATTTATGGTGGTCAAAATCATGCGATCAATTCACTTATCACTGAAATCATTGAAAACCAAATCGAAGAGGATGAAGTATATTTCCTGCAATGTTCGTCCGGTTCGGCAATGGCTAGACGACGAGTTTCTAGATAAATGGATAGGGCGAAGAGGGCCTTTAGAATGGCCTGCTAGATCTCCTGTTATGACGCCATTAGACTTTTTTCTATGGGGCCATTTGAAATCTACTGTGTTTACTGGTGCCATGATATTCCACAACATGCTTTTGAAAATGTCCGTCAGGAATCATTATCATCGCCTATATCATTGTTTCGACAATAACGGACAACATTTTGAACGCTTATTGAAATTAAAACTGTTTTTGTTTTCAGTCTGAACAAATTAAGTTAAATAAAGATTTTTCTAATTTTCTTGAAATCGAATGAAGTAGTCATTGGTTAAAAAGTTGTCCCCCTTGACAAATCTTTTGACGTGTCTCGGCGTTTTTTCTTTTAATCAGTGGTTTCCGACAAATCCGTGCTGGGAAATATTCAAATGAACACCCTGTACATACCCATTATAAGAAAGTATAAATAAAATGTCGGTATTCAGAGTGACGGTACTAATTTAATTTTCCCAGGGTATGAAAAAAAGAATTATCTGATATCTGTATGTGATCACAAAAACTGATTAGTTGCAATGATGCATCCAAGACAATATTGTAAGCTTCTTAGTTGCATGATTCCTAGTTTATTAGTAGCTGACAATACGAGTTTTACAGGTATTTCCAAGAGAAATACCGCATTATTATGAAAATGCTGAAATCTTGCAATTTGAGGATTGACAACATGCAATGTTTTGATATCAAATTCAAAACCATCTTGTATGATTCTGTTTTCCATACCCTATATAATACAATTTACGATAATACGCTATGAATGGTCTAATTAATCAATTAATTGCACTTTAAAGTATAAAAAGGAATTCTAAGGACCAATAATTAATGAAACACCTTAGACTGTTAAAAAACATTTAGCTGGAGCTGAATATGGTCAATCTATTCTCTTTTTAGGACTTTAGCCTACACTGTCAGATATTTAACAACAATGTAAAAAAATTCATATACTTATCACAATAACCATCTCAATTGCCAAAATGCTACCGATGTAAATTTCACAACTTCACGGATAAAGTTTTTTCCAAGCTATTATGTCATTTGGCCAAAGTGCAAACTCCGCCATGATTTGAGATGAAAAGTCTCAAACAATCACAAGGTTGGTGCTCGAAATTGGGTGGCTAGATTTTTTCTGCGCAGGTTTTCTAAATAAATTCTACCTTTACCCATCTGACATGTAGCCATGTCAACCAGCAGCAAAAAATACCAAAACCAAAACATTTTGACCTTCTTTATCTGCTGGATTGAAACTCTGTTAGTAAGAATGTAGCGTTTACAAGTTTGGTTTCGCTAAAATTATCTATTTCTTACAAAATGGACACATATTAAAAAATTACTCATCAGAAATGTAATTAATTTTATAATAAATAATTCATATATCTCGGCAATAATCTTAAAGAATACGACTTAATGCTTAATTAAAAAATCGTTTCTTCGCACAATTGATTTTCCTTTCCAATCAATCACAATGCTGAGAAGATCTGGACCCCACAGGCTTATAAAATTCTTCATAACCTATAAATAACACCCAGCGCCTACGCCCTGTATCATATACATACATATTCACTGCATTTTGACAGTGTACACCAAGTTCTAGTAGCGCCGTGTATACTTACAATGTTAAGGAGAATTGTTCGGTAGTTGCATCAGGAGTTGTTCTGCGATTCATAAAAAGCCGATTTCTTATCATATAAACACTATTTTGTCGAGCGATGTTTTGGTCCAAATTTTTTAGTACTTTGAGCATTTTCGTCTTGTGACTAGAAAATTGCAAGCTCAGACGAAACCATAAAACGTTTTCACAATGAAATGCATTGTGTTTCTTTTCGCGCCATATTAATTCTATACAAAGTTGATGGTTATATTTTTCCGAAATTTTTAGATATCACGCGCTCGTGGTTTATGTTAGTTATACGAGCTAAAACACGGACACCTTTACATTTGTTGAAATGGATCCATAAATCAACTACTGCTTTCTCAAAATGTATGGCAAAAATGTATAACGGTAGAAAAGTATAATAAACATCTATTTTCAATAGCGGCAACTCTGTTTTCAAATGTATTACTTTAAAACAAACAGAATCATGAATCATGACAACTAAATGTTCGGACAAGTCAAGAAACATATCATTAGAGATAAGCAGAGACTAGCAAAAACATATGAGCGCCTACCTGTGTCACAATACTGAATATCAACATCGTTGGTATTTGAAAATTATATTTCGCGCTCAACGGATTGCAGCTAATGTGTAAACAGCAGTCTTGTTCCCGGTGTAGTACGTAAAACATTATCAATTATCACAGAAAAAAAAATGATTGCAACTAACCGCACATTCCTCCCGAATTAACCATCGAAAAAAGACCAAGACGAGAAATGCCTCAGTGAGACACAATGAACGAACGTGGCGATGTACCTCTCTATGCTCTCCTATACAATTGCTGTTGTTATTGACTTTCAACTCGCCGCAAGCGGATGGTTGGTGTGTGTATGTGTTATGTATGTATATGTATATCACTATGCTGCCGGCTGTGCCATCATCCGCCTTGGTGGCGTCCATCACTTGCAACAGGCTCCGGCGGGGCCCCTGGAGCCTGAATCGCCCTCGGCCAGTCGCCGTCCCTGGCTGCTGCCCCCGGCGCCGCCACCGCCGCCCCCGGATTGGTCGTTCTTCGGCAATTTCCTAGCTGGAACCAAAAGATACGCTTGTAAGCTTACGAAATACAGCAGACGCTTGATAACGTAAACACGGGATAATGAAAACTTGCGCTAATGTAAACACACACTTCGTTCTGTAGGATCAAACGGAACGCGCGATAACGTAAACAATGTGTACGCTCGATAACGTAAACAACTCTCGGCGCACGGAAACAGCGCGACGGTAAAATGCTGAAGCCTCGATGATTTATGTCGGGCGTCGGGAAGTCCCCGATTTATGATGTAGAGTGTAGGGGATTCACCTCTGCGATAAAATACGATAAACTCGGTCAGTCGTATGACCGTTTAGGATACGTTTATACGTACGTATGTATTTCATTTTTGAACTTAAGTGAATACATTGCACGCGTTAATATATTTAACGACCATGGCATCCACATCCTATAAAAGAAAGTGTTTAAAGTTGAGTGAGAAAGTGAAAATCATAGACGAAGTTGCACTAGGTGCGGGAGTGACACAGTTAGCAAAAACATATGGAGTATCGAAATCAACAATCTGTAAAATTAAGCGTATGAAAACTCAAATTTTACAAAGAACGTGCAATACATTTGGAGGTCCGGGAAAAAGAAAAACTTTAAAAAATGCGAAGGCACCTAAAATGGAAAATTCCCTGTATAAGTGGTTTTTAAAACAACGGGTAAATCATGTCCCAGTTAGTGGCGAAGTACTTAAACAGAGAGCGAGACTGTTAAATGAAAAACTGAAAGAAACTGAAAATTTCGTAGCTAGTGATGGCTAGCTACAACGATTCAAAACAAGATATGGAATTCGACTGCTGTCTATATCTGGTGAAAAATTATCAGTACAACCACAATTAGTGCAACCATTCAAAGAAAAATTGATGAAAACAATTACCGAGCTATATTTAAGAATGGAACAAATTTACAACGCAGATGAAAGTGGCCTTTATTGGAAAATGTTACCAGAGAAAACCTATGCTGCATCATTTGAAAAATCTGCCCCGGGAAGAAAGCCGGAGAAACAACGAATAACGTTTGTAGCTTGCACTAATGCTAATGGTTCGCACAAAATAAAGCCACTGGTAATTGGGAAAGCAAAAAATCCGCGCTCATTTAAAAATGTTAATATTCCTGTTGATTATGACTGTTCAAAAACCGCTTGGATGACTAGCAGTATATTCCTGAAATGGTTCCACACGGCTTTGTCCCTCAGGTATGACAATCAATTATCACAAATGCTCTATTCATAATTTGAAGATGTGTTTTCAATTTGTAGGTAAAAGGTTTCCTAAAACAACAGAAGCTTCCAATAAAAGCGTTGTTACTATTGGATAATGGACCAAGTCATCCTCCCGAGCAACAACTGAGGAGCAGGGATGGGTCAATTTTCGTCATGTACATGCCGCCCAACGTAACACCGTTAATTCAACCGATGGACCAGAATATAATAAGACTCACCAAACTATACTATAGGAAGTTTCTACTTTCGTCTGTCTTATCAAAGAATCCTGAAAACTTATCTGAGGCTTTAAAAAAGTAACATTACGAGAAGCTGTTTTAGATTTACATATGAACTTAACCAGCAAACTATTCAAAAATGTTGGAACAATCTCTTTTGTACCAATAATGAGGATGATGAAGAAGACGATGTCCCCTTAAGCGTAATTAGAGAACGTTTGCGATCCAATAATGATAATGTTATTAGTGTGTCATTAGATATTGTTGATTTATTGAAAACAGTGAATCCCAACATTGTTTGTTTATCCTGCTGATATTAATTTATGGAACGAATATAAGCAGACGAATTATGCTGATAAGGAGGACGATATGGACAGTGAGGATGATGAGAACGATCCCATTGAAGTCAGAAGTGTAGTGACTGACGCGCAAGCTATACACGTTTTTAACCAAGCTTTAGATTGGGCTGAAAGAAAAGAAGTTTCATACACGGATATTTTAGTTCTTCGTAAATTACGGGCGCAGGCATTGGAAGACAATGCTAAGCGCAAATTTACGCAGACAAAAATTGTTAATTATTTTTCTTCTAATTAAAAAAATACTTATCGCTGTTAGAATATTTGTTTATTTTGTTATAAATAGTATGTATTAAACGTTTCTTTTAATAAATCAAATATTATATAAATCACGTTCGCTAATGTAAACATTTCGATAATGTGAACCACATTTGGATTAAATTAGTTTACATTATCGAGTGTCGGCTGTATATCCATAATTATAAAGAGGCTGTGATCATATATCCACATTTATAAAATGCTTTGAGCATATATCCATATTTATAAAGATGCTTGGATCATATATTCATATTTCTATTAATGGCTTACGGACGGAATAATTGCGGATAAGGATAGGGAAATTAGGTGGCTCATACAGGGGTGACGCCTCCAGCCTCTGGGGGTTGTTACGGGACTTTCGGTACCCGATTGCTGGGTTTAGGTGGCTATGTTAATTACTGCTCGGTTTCCTCTATCAGGGGAAAGGTCGGAGCGCTTGGGATGTTGACACGGTGGCCTCTGGCCGAAGTGGCGTCCTTCACGAGTACATGAGGAAAAAAGCTTAACGACATCGATAGAATGTGCGAGGTAAAGGGAACCAACCCGGCGTTCCCAGAGACTGAAACACATGAGGAGACGTTGTAGCAGACCGCAGGTCACGCACAACACATGGCCTACCGAGACGCTGATGAGTCGGGCCACGCGGAGGTTAGGGTTTAGTGGGTATTAGGTGGTCTCCTCAAGACAACCTGGAGTCCCACACACGCCGTAGCTCGGCCTATGGTATGGTGCGTAAACGCATTCCCCCCTCACCAAAAAAAAAAGTGGCGTCCTAGGTCTGAATGACGGCTTAACCATCTTCTCTTGGTAATCGCTAGCATCTGGATGTATCTAATGGCAGGATGACACAACGGCCGTTGGCCAACGTGATATCCTGGATCCTGGACTGCTTTTAGTAACAATCCACATAGGCTGCTGTGTGCTTAAAATTGCCTAGGCTCTTACGGTCTGCGGACCAGTATATGATAAATTAAAAATAAATTACGATGAATTGGTACCACTACGGATAATTAATGTAATCCTAAGGTAGTGCATGTTATGAGTCGGTTGAATATGGGAGGTACTCAAGTCATTTTTCTAAAAATAGATATTGGCCCCGACAATCGATCGTATCGCCCTTATCGCTTGCCAAAGGCGGATAACTCGTTGCCGTTCTGTCACCAAGTAAGTGGCTTTAATATTATCCTGACATTGTTGCCCATATCGAATTATTTACGTACTGCCATGTAGTAAGAATGGAATGGTACAGGGTGGTACTTCGAAACCTTCTAAGATGGGTTTGTGGTTTTTACGTTTATCGTTATTATCATCTCGTTCGTATCCTACATGCTATAATTTTATTGGTTTAGTTTCAGGATTGGCTGCCATCTGATGGGGAGTACTTCAATTATGATGACCCTTGAAAATAAAAGTTGACTCCAAGGCATAATAAGTATAGAGTCAGTCTGCGCTAATGGTAACTCACGGCGAGAGTTTACTACTTACTAAAATTCGCACGACCACGCTTTTAATGGCTTCGTAGGTTTCAATGCCGCGCCAGGATACTTCGCGTCAAAATCATGCATCAAAACCTCGTGAACACTTATCGATTACGTCCATTCAGAAAACAAAGTTTGCGTATATAATCAACAACAATCAAAGAACCTCAAGTAAGCATTACTCAGCTTTACGACGCCCGCATCTCTGTAAACGTAATATTTAACCGCAAACAGGGGGAGACAGATTCAATTTGTGCGATTATCACGTGAAAAAATGAGGATGCAGACTAATGAGATTTATTAAGCACGTTACAAGAAATAGACGCCCACATCGCGAGTTATTTTTGTAAGGAAAACTGTAAAATGTGAATCGGTGGAGAATGTATGATTTTTAAGACATTTCTAAGAAATAATATATATTTATATAAGAGTTACTGCATAAATGTGCTTTCCATTAAAATTAGATTGAAGCTTACTCTGACATTTTTTCGGCTACTAATTATTATAAACATATTACCGACGGTCTAAAGTACAACTCACGAAGACACCTTTGAAAAACTATGCATACTTTGTTATAAAAAACTGACTGTGGTCCTTATGGTACCGAAAATGTGTAACAATTTGCAAAAGAGGCTTTCCCCAGTTTTACCAGCATTAATCGGATCACATCAAGTTTTTAAAATATTTTAATTCCGTTTTTTGCATAATCTTATTTAAAAAGGACCCCTTATGCATGAGATACATATCCAAAAATTATTTTCTTTGCTCCGGGTCTTTTTAAGTTTTTTGAATAATTCCGAACAAAACAGGTCCTTATGAACTTTTCTCTAGACTGCATAGTTTTTTACGTTAACATCAGTTCATAAAGGCACAAGTTAGACTCTCTGAGAAAAAAATCAGCTACGAATATGTACAACAAAAAAAATGGTTCAATTCACGTCAAATAGGTCCACAGAATTAATCCACGGTCCTCACCCATTCGACAACGTTGCAATTTGGGCATTTCTCCCCCCAGTACCGAAGATCTAACACCGTCACTGCTTACCCAACCATCAAACGCAAGTACCTATATTCAAACACGGGTGTGTTGAAAACATGTCTGTATCATTTAGGTTTAGGCAAAATGTATGGGGAAATGTACAAGGTTTGTCGCAAAGTAAACAGGACCTTTGAAAGACATCCGATACAAGTAGTGCATTATCGGAGACTAGCGTTGGAAAGGTACAACAATTGTTGTTGTTCATTACCCCTAATGTATTTAATTTTTCCAATTAAATTAATAATAATTTTGCAAGTTAGACAATAGAACGGTTTTTATTTTTTTACTCAAAAATGGCGCATCGAAGAAAAGCAACTCAAGAGAGATCATTTGTTTTAGATTGAACGGGGAATTCAAAAATAGTTTTTATTTGGCAAGAAACCATTGGCGTACCATTTTTTTTGTAAAAAATATCGAAGTCAATACCCGTACGCACGCCACTGTTAAAGCTAAACATTATTTTTGCACTGAAATATATGCAACTTTATTAACTTTCACTACGTACTAAATATCAGTGAAATGTCTGAAGCGGTTCTGAAAATATTAATTAATTTCCATTTTTTTCCTAAAACTTCATCACCCCGAGTTTTTATATGCAAACATTTTTGGACTATAGTTTATAAAGCACACTAACATTATTTTTTTATGTAGATTCGCACCTTTAAATATTCGCATATCATTAAGGAACACCCTGTATATGTGAATATCTAATAGTCGCGTAGAATTACCTGGTTTGGAAGCGGATAAATAATACAGGGTGGTCCATAAGTCCTTTGAAATTTCAAATTTGAATAAAATTTAACGGGTGAGCGTGAGCGGCGCGGGCGAGGTGGGGGCAGTATCTTCAGTGTCTGGGAATTCAGTCGCCATGGAGTGTTTCACTGGAGCGGATCGTGCTTTTTGTGTGCGCGCGTTTTATCAAAATAATGATTCGGCAACCATTGCGCGGCGTAAATATCGAGAATACCACAATTTACACAATTTTACAAAGTGTCCAACAGCTCAAACGATTAAGAACTGGGTTGCTAAGTTCGAAGAGACTGGTTCGACGTTAGATAAACAGCGGTGGGGTCGACCAAGGACAACTCGTATTGAAGAAAACATCAACATTGTGGCACAGTCTGTTCGTCAAAATCCTACCCAGTCTACTAGTAAGCGTTCCAGTGCACTAAACATACCCAGAACATCTTTACGGAAAGATTTACGTCTGCACGCTTACAAAATTCAGTTAGTGCAGGAATTCAAAGATAATGACGCTATTCAGAGACTAAACTTTGCGAATGAAATGTTGAATCGATTTTCTTCGCTCAATAATGTGTTGTTCTCGGACGAGGCTCACTTCCATTTAAACTAGCATGTAAATAAACAAAATTGCCGTTATTGGAGCCCCGAAAATCCAAGGCGTAGCATCAGAAGCCCTTACACAGCCCTAAAGTTACAGTTTGGGCTGCTATGTCAGCGCATGGCATCGTAGGCCCTTATTTTTTGAGGACGACAGAGGTCGCGCATTAACTGTTACTTCGGAGCGGTATGTAGCAATGATAGAAGAGTTTTTGACACCAGCGTTGCAGAATTTTCCAGGCTATAATACGCAGACCTGGTTTCAACAGGACGGAGCAACTGCCCACACCTCCAACACTTCTATGCCCGTCGTCTGTCAACTTTTTCCCAGCAAAGTAATTTCTCGAAGAGGAGACATTTCCTGGCCACCACGTAGTCCAGATTTGACCCCAATGGACTTCTTTTTATGGGGCTACCTCAAGAGTAAAGTGTACGACACCACTCCGCGATCAGTTGATGTCCTGAAAGAAAATATCCGAAGAGAAATGGCAAGCATTACAGTGTTGACTTGCCGCGCAATCATCGACAATTTTAGACGTCGTTTACATGAGTGCCGTGATCGTAATGGATTGCATTTAGACGATATGATTTTTAAAACATAATTCCCATTCAATAAAGATGATAACAAAATGTAATAATTCTTCATAATGTAACTAGTTTGGTTTTATTCCTTTTTTTCCAGCTCAAAGGACTTATGGGCCACCCTGTATATTAACGCCCAAAAATGTTTCTGAAAATGATGCAGCCAAAGAACGAAGTTTGAGCAATCTTAGTTGTGTGCCTGTTGGTCAGCCACACATTTTCAATGTTTTTTGCGATGGAAGTAAAATGAAATTCTGCACTTACCTATCGCCAAGAAGATCTCGCTGACGTTCATCGCCGTCTTGGCGGAGGTCTCCATGAACAGCAGACCGTTCTCGTCCGCGTACGCTTGCGCCTCTTCGTACTCGACCATCCTCTTGTTGGCCAAGTCCTGTTTATTGCCGGCCAACGCTATCACGATGGTGGGTGACGCCTGTCGTTGCAGCTCTTTGACCCATGTCTTGGCCCTACCGAACGTATCCTGGTTCGTGATGTCGTACACCACGATAGCCGCCTGCGCGCCACGGTAGTACATCGGCGCTAAACTGTGGTACCTGTACGAGAGGACAAGTAAATTGCACAGCGTGTTCTGAAATAAGCGGTAAATCTTTCGGATGCGTATAGAACACGACAAATGAGGTAGATTTCTAGAAAAATCTCCTTATGAATACACTATTTTATAATTTTCCAAAAAATAAATTACTTTTATAGGATTTCTCAGACTTAGAACGTATTCCAAAAAAAATAGTGTATAATACAATTATTCTACCGCATTTACTATATTGTTCACTGCCAATGAAGCTGTATTCCGAAATTAAAATTATAAAGCTATGAATAAAAAGACGTACATCAAAAGAAAATCTATGTTACAAGAATTGCAGTGGTTGAATACAAAAAAAATCATATATTTGGTTTTTATTTTCGTATTATTATCAGGTAACCAAATAAGTTCGTGCGGTTACTGTATAGCTGCAGCGGCGGCGCGAAAAATATGTACCGCATTCGGAGATGATGGTTAGTGATCTAACAGCACAGAAGTGGTTCAAAAAATTTTCTTCGGGAGATCTCACACACGAACTGACAAATGATAACAAATTAAGTCGTCTTACCATTCGTTCAGCAAACAATTCACGCAACGTTATTGAACCATTTCTTAATCGGTTATTAACCTACGACGAAAAATGGATCTTGTACCGCAAAAGTGACCCGAGAAAAAATTTCTGAACTCGGCTGGGAAACGTTACCGCACCCGCCATATTCTCCCGACTATTCGCCCAGTGATTATCACCTTTTTTTGTCTCTTGACAAGTGTATGAGGCACCGACAGTTCACAACTCGAGATGGTGTAATAAATGCAGTCCGCCAATTTTTTTGACTCCAAATCCAAAAGGTCATTGAATGTGATGGTACAGGGTTTTTCCGCAAAAGTAATAGGACTCATTTCGGTAGAGGGCGTTCCTAGCTAACGAATAAGCGGCTGGTCAGTTGTCTCCGAGCACTTGGAGAGTCAGGACAGGCATTTTTGCGCGACGTGTTTCTGTGAGTGGTGCAAGCCGAAAATGCAGCGTTCGTTAGAGTAGAGGTACGCGATTAAATTCTGTGTGAAACTCGGTAAATCTGCGACAGAGACGTTTGATATGATCAAGCAGGCTTACCCAGGTGTTGCTTTAGCAAGAAGTGGTGTGTTTCGGTGGCACCAGGCCTTTTTGGAGGGCCGGGAAGAGATCGCTGATGAAGACCGTACTGGACGACCTTCGACTTCGACAAACACCGATAATGTGACTCGTGTGCGCAAAGTTTTGAACTCAGACCGTCTACTAAGTATTCGTTTAATTGGCCAGAAAATTTACCAAAATCTGTGGTTCATGACATTGTGACACAGCATTTGAACATGCGCAAGTTGTGCGCGAAGATGGTCCCAATAGTGCTCACTGACGACCAGAAATTGCAGCGAGTGGAAGTGTGCCAAGAAAATTTGAACATGTGTGAAAGTGACCCCCAATTTTTTAATTACGTAATCACAGGTGACGAGTCGTGGATCTTTGAGTATGATCCCGAGACAAAGAGGCAATCTTGCGAGTGGCACACGACGGCGTCTCCTCGCCCAAAAAAGGGAAGAATGAGCGAATCCAAAGTGAAAACGATGCTCATTGTCTTCTTTGACATCAAAGGCATCGTCCACCGTGAATTTGTTCCTCCTGGACAAACCGTCAACGCAAAGTTTTACGTGGAAGTGCTCAGGAGACTCAAACGAAGGGTCAGTCGGGTCCGACAAGACATCGCAGCCGACCGGAAGTTGCACCACGACAACGCCCCGGCTCACACCGCCTTTCTTGTGAACAGCTACCTGACCAAGGCCGGCATCCCAACGCTTCCGCCAGCCGCCCTACAGCCCAGATGTGCCCCCCCCCCCCCGGACTTTTGCCGATGAAAGGCAAGCATTTTGAGACGACAGACGGGATCCAAGCAGCATGCACCGCGGCTCTCAAGGCTATTCCGGAGAATGCCTTCCATGACGCCTTCAATGCTTGGAAATCGCGCTGGCAGCGCTGCATCGACGCAGAAGGAGCCTATTTTGAAAGTTTTTAAAGAATTGTAATGATTGGCTCAATAAATTTTTTTAAATCGACTCAGTCCTATTACTTCCCGGACAAACCCTGTAATTACTTCGACGAATAAAAGTGTCTTATTGTTTCTCAATAAAAAAATTTATTTATCCACTAAAAACCGCACGAATTTATTCGGTTACCTGACAAAATAAAAAACCATCTTTTACCACAACATTTAGAACATTACATAGAATTGAATAAACAATACCACATCTATTATACAAGAGGAAATACAGAAGAAATTGCAATAGTAATATAACTAGCAAATCAACATTTCAGAAGGGATTATGTACTTGAAATTTAATAAACTAAATAATGATATAAAGTCTACTTGTATAATAGAAAATTCTGAGATGCACGTTTTGTTTTCTGAATGTTATTAATTGTAGTTTTTTAAAAGAATATAATTGCAGGAATCATGTTAAATAAATCTCAAACAAACAAATATTAAATAAAGAACTTTATAATCAATACCGGACCTTCTAATTATTTATCAGCAAGTTTTCAATAAAAACTCCAGCAAACATTCACTAAAATCTTACCTTTCTTGTCCCGCGGTGTCCCAAATTTCAAATTTGACAGTAGTATCGTCGAGACAGATGGTCTGCGTGAGAAAAGCGGCCCCGATGGTGCTCTCCTGGTACTCATGGAATTGTCCTTTGACGAACCGCAACACCAACGATGATTTCCCTACAGCAGACTCGCCCAATAGCACCAGTTTAAACTGGCATATTTTGTTCTGGGTTTGGCCGTTGGGTCGCTGAGCGGCGCCCCTTTGGTGATTCGAGTTGCCGCCGCCACTGGCAGCTCCGCCACCTCCACCGCCGCCGGACGCCCCTGACGACATCTCGAAGGCCTGATTCAAACACGTCAGTTTGTATTTGGTTACATACAGCAATTTTTAAAATCGTCCCCACGATTATTTTTTGAACGTGTCCAGTTAGAAAGCGGAAATTTGGTGCGATTAAATTTGTCTGACGTCTTGAGTTCAATGTGTGCGAGAGAGAAGTCTGAATAGACGCATATGTTAGAAAGAGATAGAAGCCGGCTGGTTAGTGAAACTCATTACCGCGTTACCAATATGTTACAGCAGTTCCTTGAATTACGATGCATGTTGAAAATATGCGCTAGTTTATTCTGTAAGCCTAAATAACGGAGCTCCATTTTAGGTCGAAATGGAAGGTCAGCTTCGCCACAAATTCTACAACATCGCATCACTGGTTCGCTTGGCAACACCGCATCTTTTACAGGGTGTTTCAGTTTATAGTTGCATAACTTTAAGATTCGATAGAACTTTTAAAATTAATGCATAAAGTCTATATAAACATGGGTCGAAAAATGCGTGGCTTCCGAAATACAGGGTATTTAAATTTACTTTCTAAAATGGATTTTTTAATATAGTTTTACTGTAGCCGCTAGAGGGCGCTCTCTACTATACCTGTAGTGTATTAAAATGACCGAAAAATTTTTCTTAGTACAATTTTTTTGTTTTTTGAGATATTTCGATTTTTAAGGTTCGATGCATTTTTAATTATTTATGATAAAATAACGTTATAAAGTCAGTATCTCGATAATTTTTAGGAGTAGGCTGTGTCTGCAAATATTTTTGAAATTGAAAGCAGAATAAGGTTAAACGTCAATTAGTTGACAGTTAGTTTTGTTGTCTGTTGAAACCTGAAACGTTTTTTTGCAATTGTGAATGCACGAAATTTAGTTTCTTTAACCTGTTTTTTTTGTAAGTTTTATAAAAATGCCATTTTTATTCTCCAATCAAGAGTTAGCGGATATTCATTTTGTGTATAGCTTTGTAAATGGAAACGCAGCAGAAGCAGCCAGAGAATACGCACGAAGATTTCCAAACAGACGACATCCAACTCGCTCAGTATTTGTAACAGTGCATCGCCAAATAATTGAAAATGGTTTTGGAAATCTCCAAAGGGATCAAAACATAAATGTTCGTCAGCGCAGATTTACCCGTATGATTCTGCGCGAGTTTGATAGAGATCCGACCACAAGTGTAAGGAGAGTTTCTGGTGCCTTGGGAATGTCATCAAGCCATGTTCACCGTGTTCTTAGAAATGACCATAGACGTCCTGACCATTTGCAACCTGTGCAAGGACTACAGCCAGGGGACGGAGAACGAAGAATCACATTTGGTCAGTAGATTCTTGATAGAACTGATAATAGGGAGTTTTTAAGTAACGTTTTATGGACCGATGAGTCATGCTTCACTAGACGTGGAGTGGTAAATTTTCATAATCAACATATTTGGTAGCATGAAAATCCGCATGCAGTTCGGGAAAGAAATTTTCAGCATGAATTTAGTGTGAACGTGTGGATTGGTATCTACCCTAATCGACTATTTGGACCCTACCTTTTGCCTGCAAGGTTAAATGCTGCGACCTTCTTGGAATTTTTAAAGGCTGAAGATGCAAATATGTGGGATGCTGTTATGTTAGATTTAAGAAGATTGGCCTGATTCCAGCTTGATGGTTGTCCAGCTCATTATTCGAGAATAGTTAGAAACTGGCTGGACGAAAATTATCCAGAAAGATGGATCGGCCGTGGAGGACCAGTCGCCTGTCCTCCACGATCCCCTGACCTAAATCCATTAGATTTCTTTGTGTGGGGGATTTCTAAAAGAAAAAGTGTACCAGACTCCCGTAACCACAAGAGATATGCTAATAGACAGAATCAGGAATGCATGTGATGAAATAAGGCCTTATTTGAATAATGCTATACCACGTTCGATCATTCGTAGATGTGAATTGTGTATTGAACAATTGGGTTTACATTTCGAGCAACTACTTTAGATTTTGTATGTTGGTCCTAACTATCCAATAGCATTTTAGTTGTAAATAATTAATTTAATTTGTTAAAAATAATATTGGAAAATTAAACAAATTAATATTGTGTTTTTTGGGTTTTTATTTGGAGTTAGGAATTATTGCTGTGTTTAAAAACACAATCTAAACGATCATCTTAATTACTTGTAATGCCCAAATCTAAAATGTAAAACAAAATATTATTTTCCCATAAATAATTAAAAATGCATCGAACCTTAAAAATCGAAATATCTCAAAAACGAAAACTCACAGTAGAGCTTTTTTATACAGAAAGGTGCGAAGAATCAGTTTTTTTATTCAAAAAGCAAAAAATTGCAGCAAGAAAAACCCTTGTATACCAATTTTCACTGTTATACATCAAATATTGTTCGAAATATTTAAAAAAACTATTTTAGAAAGTAAATTTAAACACCCTGTATTTCGGAAGCATTTTTCGACCCATGTTTATATAGACTTTATACATTGATTTTAAAAGTTCTATCGAATCTTAAAGTTATGCAACAATAAACTGAAACACCCTGTATATTCCAAGGCAAGGTTTCCACCTCCATGATCATAGATAAGCTATTTTGGTCAGTACCCATCTAGCGCTCATTTGGGAGTATCGTCGATCGAACTAAATAATTCTGATCAAAATGAAAACAAAATATTAAATTAAATGTTCGAACAGACCTCCTTCTTGGGTTTGACAGTAACCTAAACCTATTGTAGACGCCTGTCCGTGCATTTTCTGGGGCAACATATTGGCAATGTGGTGATGGCTTTCGCTCTTCAGCCGGCTTCTATACAGGGTGGTGCATCGAAAACGAAACAGACGCATTTACTGGCAGCTCAGTTTTTTTTTGAAAAACGCTCAGACCCGTCGATTTTGTTTTCGAGGGGGACACAAGTTTGGCAAAAAATCACGTTAGCACGTGCAGCCCCCTAAGCGGTGGTGACACCACCCCCAAAATCTTAAATGGAAAGGGGGGTCGAGTGTTACCTTATTTTAAAGGTCTTTCAATTCCATTTATAATGATATAAAATTAATGTACCTCAGTTCAGTAGTTTTGAAGATTTATTGATTTAAAGCTTAAATAAAACTAATACATCATCATTAGTGGAGATCAATACATTTAGCAGCAAAGTAATTTAAAAATGAAGAATGAACTGACCCGTTAGGCAAGTAAATGTTGAAAATGGCCACCATGACTCTCCATGCAATAATAAAGATTTTGCTCAAAACGTTGCCGCACATTTTGCAATATTTGAGGAGTAATTTGAAGGCACTCATTCACAATTCTTTTTCGCAGGTCTTCTAATGATGTTGGCTGAGTAGCATAGATTTTGCTTTTTAAATGACCCCACATAAAGAAATCCAAAGGAGATAAATCTGGCGATCTTGGGGGCCATTCAATGGCACCTCTCCAATGATCTGGAAACGTCTGATCTAAATATTGTCGAACACGTAATGCGTAATGTGGTGGGGCACCATCCTGTTGGAACATCAACCTATTCGCAATGTACCGCCGATCATTCTGATTTTAAATTATGGCTATTAATGCAGGATCTATGGCGTCTTCCAGTAATTCCAAATACATTTCACCGGTCAAATTTCCAGGTGAGAAAAAAGGACCAAGTAATGATCGCCAAAAATACCAGCCCAAACATTTAATTTTTGTGAGAGGGCTCGGGTTTGCGTGGCTTCCAGAGACGGACATTTGATATTATTTTTCACACATAATTTCCAATTTCTATAAAAGATTAAGGCGAAAAAAATGGACGTACTTTATTTCATTCCACAAATATTCAAGATACAAACCAGTCAGTTACATATTGGCCACCCTGTATGTACGAATATGTTGACAAGTACGCCTTAATGTTCTGTACACATGCGACATTTTTTCAAGTGATACCACTCCTAGAATTATTAAAATACACGCGATAAACAATTATCATCCATCTGGGGTGGATCCAATTGGCGACATCCACACCGGAAATTGTTGAATTTTGTGTCGGCATCTTGAGTCACCTCTGCTTTTTATTATTTTTTGTATAAATGCTCGTTTAGAAAATTAAATTAAAGGTGACTAAAATAATGCACAAATGAAGAAAATTACCCGTTTCGCCATTCTTTTTTCAGCTTTAAACGATATGTTTGTCTACCAGACATTATTATACAGGGTGTTTCAGTTTATTGTTGCATAACTTTAAGATTCGATAGAACTTTTAAAATTGATGCATAAAGTCTATATAAACATGGGTCGAAAAATGCGTGGCTTCCGAAATACATGGTGTTTAAATTTACTTTCTAAAATAGTTTTTTTTTTAAATATTTCGAACAATATTTGATGTATAACAGTGAAAATTGGTATACAAGAGTTTTTTGGTACGACAAAACGAACCATGGGCATAGTTTTACTGTAGCCGCTAGAGGGCGCTCTCTACTGTACCTGTAGTGTATTAAAATGACCGAAAATTTTTTCTTAATGCAATTTTTTGCTTTTTGAATAAAAAAACTAATTCTTCGCACTTTTCAACATAAAAAAGCTCTCTTGTGAATTTTCGTTATAGTTAGCCGGTTTTGAGAAATTTCGATGTTTAAGGTTCGATGCATAACGTTAAAAAGTCAGTATCTCGATAATTTTTAGAAGTAGGCTGTGCCTGCAAATATTTTGAAATTGAAAGCAGAATAAGGTTAAACGTCAATTAGTTGACACTTAGTTTTGTTGTCTGTTGAAACCTGAAACGTTTTTTTGCAATTGTGAATGCACGAAATTTAGTTTCTTTTACCTGTTTTTTTTGTAAGCTTTATAAAAATGCCATTTTTATTCTCCAATCAAGAGTTAACGGATATTCATTTTGTGTATGGCTTTGTAAATGGAAACGCAGCAGAAGCAGCCAGAGAATACGCACGAAGATTTCCAAACAGACGACATCCAACTCGCTCAGTATTTGTAAGAGTACATCACCAAATAATTGAAAATGGTTTTGGAAATCTCCAAAGGGATCAAAACATAAATGTTCGTCA